TGGATGTGGCAGCACATGTCTGTAATCTCAACACTTGGGAGGCTGAGACAGGAAGATGGCAAGTCTGCAAGTTCAAGGCCAGCCTGGCCTACTTCATAAGATCTTATTTCAAAATAAAAAGAAAGAAAAAAAAAAGGCATGCGCCTAGGGATGTAAGCAGTGAAACACTTGCCGAACATGGGAGAGGTGCTGGGTTCAGCCCCTGCTACCTCATGGCATGGATGGCAAAGATGAGGAAGCTAAGGCCTGGAGCTCAAACAGCAGGAGCTGAAGGAAGCCCGGGCCAAGCCTAGCAGCGCGGGTTATTTTTACACTGTTCTGAAAACTTGGGAGTATGTTGTGATTCTGAGATTAAGCTGTGCTATCTGAAGTCACCTCTCCGGGGAATGTCTCCGAGAGGCAAAGGCAAGGGTGTGTGTGGGAGGGCTGCAGCCTCTCGGGCCAGACTAGAGCTTATGTATCCTTGGAGCTGTGGTTCTCAACCTCTCTAACACCGCAGCCCTTTAATGCGGTTCCTCATGTTGTGGTGACCCCCCAACCGTAAAATTATTTCGTTGCTGCTTCATAACTGTAATGCTGCTGCTACGATGAATCATACTTAATGCAAGTATCTGATATGCAGAGTATCTGATATGTGGCCCCTGTGAAAGAGTCATTGGACTCCCAGGTTGAGAACCGCTGCCTTAGAGGGTGAAGGCAGGCCGGAGGAGTTCTTGGCTAAGCGGTCTGGTCCATGGGTTGTGGGCTGGGAAGCTGAAGCGAAAACTGTCGTTGGACTGTTGTTAAATAACAGATAGGTGGTAGAAGTGGTTAAAGTTTAGGTCCTGTGTTCAAATCCTGTCTTCCTACTTGAGGGCTTGGTATGTTCATACAGATCTTAGTTTTTTCATGTGTAAAACGGGTGTGATAATTACACAGGATTGTTTTGGAAACAAAATAACTAAAAGAAAGTGTCCAAAGAGACAGCTGGCACACCATAAAGGATATGTTTGATTCATGTTACTATGACATTGTGGCGGCCTTTTGTAAGTCCACAGGGCACCCACCCATCAAAAGCTGGGTAGGTATTCCACAAGCATTATCTTTCAAGTCCAAATGGATATTAATATTATTCCAAATTCACAAAAGGGGTATCTTGAGGCTCAGTGGATAAAGTAATCTGTTCAAGTTTCAGCTAAGGAAACAGCAGGACTAAAAACATAAAGATTTGATTCTAGAAGGAGCCGCTGCCACTGTTATCTCAGGACTGAGGATATGTCGCCTCCTGGTGGCTGTATGTTTGAAGTGTTTTTCAGTTGGGGCCAGAGAGAAAGGGGTGGTGGTGGGGAGGATCCAGACAGAGAAATCACCATCAGGGGACTTTTCAGCATCGCCCCAGACTTCCAGCTGCAGCTCTGGCCCCTGGGTCTGTCCCCAGGGCAGAGATAACTGCTCTGGCCGTGCCATTTACCCACCTGCGGCAGAGTGTATCCGCGGAAGGAAGTGGTCCTCGTGAGGGCATGGGGCATTCCCATGGGCACCAGCGCCAGCAGCCGCTGCGCCTCGTGTAAAACTGCATCGGTGTAAGGGAGGCGAGCACGATCGCTCAGACTCGGAGCCCTGCCAGGTCCCAGCTCCTGGATCAACTCTTCCCGAACTCGCTCTGCATGCAAGAGGAAGGTTGCAGGTCAAGGGTGGGATGGACTCCCTGATTCTCCTGGAAGCCTCATCTTGTGCAACGGTGGTTTGGGGGTGATGCTGGCAGCATGTGAGGAGCAGAGTTGGGCCTGGGGTCTTGTTCTCCTTACTAAATGCTGGGATTACTGCTGTGCACTGCCACACCTGGATGATGACTCCAACTGTGTGTGGTGGGGGTGGGGTGGGGGCGTATGTGCACATGTATGCTTGGGTGGAGACCCAAGGAAGGTGTCAGGTTCCTGCTGTAGCACTCTCCACCTTATTCCCTTGAGACAGCGTCTCTCACTGAACCTGGAGCTCAGCTGGCAGCCAGCAAGTCCTAGAGATTCTCCTAGGTCCTCATCCCTTCGTGCTGGAGTTATAGTTAAGTACAGACATGCCATGCTTTTTACCGGTGGTGGGGACTTGAACTCAAGTCCTCATGCTTGTGCAGCAAGCGTTCTTACCCCCTGAGCCGTCTCAGCAGCTCTAATCACAATTAATTAATTAATTAATCTCCAGTCCTGATCCAGTGTCTTGTGGAGCTTGGATCCATCTGTTTTTGTGATCTTAGGCCCTTCCATGGTGACTTTGGTATCCACCCTCCCTTCCCCCCCTTCTCTCTCTTGAGACAGGCTATGCATGTAGCCAAGGCTGGCATTTACTGCATAGAAAAGGCTAGCCGTGAACTTGCGGCAATCATCTTGCTTCAGGCCTTCTATGTGCTGGGATTACAGGCATGTGGCACTGTCCCTGCTCAACATCCCCTTTGAAATCAACTCCATCTTCCTTCTTCCTGTGCCGAGCTCAGGCTGAATCCACTGTCCTTGGCTTCCCAGCTAGAAACTCAGGTCTGCCCCTGGACAAGTCCGTCCTTCCTTATTCTCCATGCCCTGCCTCTTCTGCCCTTGTCCCTATTCACCAGTGGATTTGAAGCAAGGGCTCCCCTGAAACGCTAAGCAAGAGATCTGCACTGAGCGACATCTCCTACAGTCCATCCCGTCATGGCAGCTGGATGATTTTCTACAATGCGGGTTTAAGCTGAGTGTGGTCTTTCACATCTAATAAACTCAGTCGAGCCAGGACGCTGAGTCAGAGGCCATCCTGGGTTATAACAGTGAGTAGCAGGCCAGCTTGGACTATGGAGTAAGACCTTATCTCAAATAAAAATTAATCAATGAATAAATGCAAATGTAATTACGTTTTCCCTGCTCAAGGTCCTTCTGTGGCTCCCCACAACTGGGGACAAGGCACGTGATGAAGCTGACAAGGTGTCACAGGCATGTCGTGTCGTGTCCCGCCTCCCACTGTCGCTCGGACCACGCTCAGAAGCTCCATCCCCGCTTGGGGAACCCTAAACTCTGTGCTCATTTTCATTTCCCTGCACAATCTGTTCATCACTTGGGTGTCTGAAACCCGGCTGGTGGGAACAGCTTCTCTTTTGGTTTTTCAAGACAGGGTTTGTCTGTAGCTTTGGAGCCTGTCCTGGAACTCGCTCTGTAGAGCAGGTTGGCCACAAACTCAGATATCCGCCTGCCTCTGCCTCCCGAGTGCTAGGATTAAAAGCGTGTGCCACCACTGCCCGGGGGGAACGATTTCTTACTTTGCACCTGAGGGTATTTCATCAGGAGCAGGAGGGCATAGCGGACGGTGGCACCGACGGTCATTGTCCCAGCAAACAGCAGGTAGGTGACCGTCATCAGCAAGTTCTTCTCGGTGAATTCTGTGCCTGGCTCCTCTTTCTCCTGAGCAGTAAAAGAAATGTTTGGGACTAGTTGAGAAATGAGGAATTGTTATTTGAGTCAGATAGAGATTCAGTATTTAATTTTTTTTTTTCGGGACAGGGTTTCTCGGTATAGCTTTGGAGCCTGTCCTGGAACTATCTTTTGTAGACCAGGTTGGCCTTGAACTCAGAGATCCTCCTGCTTCTGCCTCCGGTGTGCTGGGATTAAAGGCATGTGCCACCACTGCCTGACAATTTTTTTTTTATTTTGTGTGTGGGTTTGTGTGCGCCATGGCATGCACGTGGAGGTCAGAGGACAACTTGCAGGAATCAGTTCTGTCCTTCCATTGTGTGGCTCCAAGGTAGTCAGGCTTGGTGTCCAACACCTTTACCCACCGAGACATGCCATTGTCCATTCCCCCTGCTTTGAAATATGTAGCCCAGGTTGGCCTTAAGCCTGTTAAATAGCTGAAGATGACTTTCTGCCTCTACTTCCCAGGTGCTGGTATAACAGGTGTGAATTATCATTCCTAGGTCACGTGACACCAGGAGTAGAACCCAGGGCTTCCTGCATGCTAGGTAGAGACATCAGGGTAGAGAAAGAGACCTGAAGGTTTAGCCCTTGGGAGGCAGAAGCAGAGGGGTCTCTGCAAGTTTCAGGCCAGCCTGGGCTACAGCATGAGTTCTGGGCCAGCCTGGCCTATAGAGTAAGACCTCATCTCGCCAAAACTAAAAAGAGAAGAGATCGATGGAAAGCCTCAGGATTTCCTGAAGAAAGGGCTGTAAAGCAGGTTAGACCAAAGAAGGGACAGTCTCTTCCCCCAGCAAAGTTAGCCATTCCTGGTCCCACTCTGAGTTCAGCCCAGGGATGAGGACTCAGCAAACGCTAAGTAAACAGACGATCAGGCAGGCCATAGTCAAGTTCCACACCTGTGACATCTTCAGCAGGAAGGCATCAACGACGTCACGTGCAGGACCTGAAGTGTGGGTGCTTCCCTGGTGTTGCTGTACCTGCTGGACAGCGAAGGCAGCCAGGGTGCCCAAGTGGCGCTGCAGCTGTGTATGTGGGCCCGGCAAGGGCTGCAGTAGCCAGGAGAACATCTCGTAAGCCTGTGGGTGCAGAAGGCAGTTTGTTCTCAGCGTGCTCGGTAGGAATCACTGAGGCTGGAGAGGGCTTCGACCATTTACCTGGCCCCATGGGGAGCTGATCGCCAACAAGGTACCACTTGCTGCCTGGATCACAGCCTGGAACTCTTTATCTTCATAGGGCAAACGGATGCCAAAGATGAGAGAACAGACGACATTAGAGGTGGCCTGGGCCAGCAGCGTGGAAGGATTGAATGGTCGTCCTGGGAGGCATGGATGGTGGGGTGGGGGGAGAGAGAGGGAGAGAGAAGACTGGATTATATGAAGACATGGGACAGAAAGAGAGTTAGAGCTAGGTGTGGTGACTCACATCTATAATCCTAGCCCTTGAAACATGAGGCACGAGAATTGCTGGGAGTTCAAAGACAGCCAGGGCTACAGAGTGAGTTGTGCTTCAAAAACAAAAACAACAAAAGTTGATGCCCGTTTCCGGGTCATACATTTGTGGTCTTGACCAGCCAGGAGCAAGTTAAGAATGGGTGATGTTGAGAAAGGCAGCAGTTTTGTTCAGAAGTGTGCCTGGTGCCACACTGTGGAAAAGGTAGGCTATCACAAGACTGGGCCAAATCTCCACGGTCTGTTTGAACAAAGACAGGCCACTGGATTCTCTTACACAGATGCTAACATGAGCAAAGGTACCACCCGGGGAGGGTACCTGAGCGAGCATGTGGGGAATGCCAAAAAAGTACATCCCGGAAACAAAAACGATGGAATGGAGAAGGGAGAAAGGGCAGACCTAATAGCTTATCTTAAAAAGGCCACTAACAAGTAACACCACTGCCTTATTTATTTCATAGCAAATGTCTCATGGCTTTTAATATGTACTGTGAGTTAACTCAGACACCAACATTCAGATCATGAATGGCAACAGCGCTTTTTGTTGGGCAGTCCTGATCCAAGTAAAGCTGGCTTGTACATGGAAAGGGGGATTTGATCTTTCTGCATCAATACTAGCATGCTCTCCCTTTCTCAAGATGAGATTGGACTAAATTAGTAATCTTCCATTCTTCACAAAGATGGGGCTGTCTGATGGGTTTTGTATTTTGATTTATGTAACTGGGCATATGAATGTGTTTAAACACGGGGAAAATTCTGTCACTGTCTCAGAAACAAGTTTCAGTTCGTGTTCACTGGCCCGTGATGGGCAATGGCTAACCGTCTGGAAGCAACTTGACAACACCAATTTAATTAGAATCTCCTATGTTGAAGGTGCTGCTTTTTCTTATTTTATGTGCACTGGTGTTTTGTATGTATGCTGTCTGTGTGAGGGTGTCGGATCCCCTGAAACTGAAGTTACAGATAGTTGTGAGCTGCCATGTGGGTGCTGGGAATTGAATCGGGGCCTCTAGAAGAACAACCAGTGCTCTTAACTACTGAGCGGTCTCTCCAGCTCTGGGTGCTGTCTTTTCTTGCTAAGAGGCACTTACTGTGGCTTATGCATATTGCCAAATAAAGAGTATTTAACACACACACCCCCAAGACCCCCCAAAACAAGACAAAGAACAAAAGGAGCCAGGTGTGGTAGCTGGCACCTGTAATCCCAGCACTTGGGGGTTGAGGTAGAAGGATTAGTCACCAGCTCCAGGCCAGCCTGGTCCAACTAGTGTATGTAATTCCTCCATCTTAAACAAGACAAAGCAGGTAGCGGGTAAACATGGAAGAAGAGAGCTAGGGGGAAGGAACGAGAGAGAGGCTGCTGAAGGCTGCCAGTGTCCCAGGGACAAAAAGAGCTGTTGTGGTACCCCCAGGTATGGAAGGATTCAGTCAGTGTGGAGGTGAGCAACCCCCTCCCGCCCAGGCCTCCCCCACAGGTTCACCCCCCCCCCCACCCCCGGGGAGCAATGGAGATGGCTCCTCTTCCTCTTGGCTGGAAGCATTTGCTGGCCCCTCCCTGCTGACCTTCTGTCTTCTGGAAGGCCTCCACCAGGTTCTGCACCTCTGCTTGGATCAGCTCCTCGCCTTCTCTCTTGCCCATGCCCAGGTCCCGTAGTGCGAGTAGGGTGAACTTCCTCAGCTGTTTCCACCGCTCCCCATTGGCAAAGAAAACCCCTGCACAGAAGGCTAGATTCAAGAAGGAACTGGCTCCTTCCTCCCGGTGAGATGCTTCCAGGGCTCTGCCCTGAATCTGTACCAGTCTGGCAGGTGTGTGTATGCATGTGTGTCTGTGTGTGTGCGGAGAACTCAATAGGAGCTCCATAAGTGCATAACTGAATTAGCTTTTTATCCTTTGAGCTTAAGCCAGAGGAGATAGTCTCTTGAATGGGTGACTAGCCCTCCCCCTTAAGCCAGAGGAGACAGTCTCTTGAATGGGTGACTAGCCCTCCCCCATCACCTTTTCATCTCTCCTTGTCCCATCTGCCCTTCCCAGCACAGGGGGCAGATGAGGCCATGGTGAGAAAAGAAGGTTGGAATTACGCTGTCTTCTCCTTTACCCCCGTCACCCATTAGGCACAGACCTCCCCTTCGGAGCTCAGTGCTGCGACTCTTGTTGAAGGCTGGCTGGTAGTGGTGGTTGGAAGCTGTCCTTGGCCCCCTCAGGTCTGAAACGAGCTTGCCGACTATTCCCCTCCCCACCTCAACCTCACCATCCACCCAGTGAACAGAGCCCTAGGCCTCTCCGGCTCTTGTTTCTTCCAAATAGCATCTCTCCCCACGCTTAGCCTTTCCCTGGTCCATTTCGTCTCCTCCCTGGGCTTCCAGCCTTCAGTTCTACTCACTTTGCAGTCTTTTCCTGTTGAAAAGGCTCAGCTCTCAGAAAACCAGAAGCCCAGCCGCTCTGGTGTGACTCACAGGCTTGCAAGGTGGCCAGAGTCACGCTGACTTTTAGCTTTATTAATCATCTACTACAACATCTCTCATTTCCTCAAAGGCATCATGATCCCTCACCTCGACCTGGGCCCTGGCTGTTTTCTCTGTATCATGCTCACAGGCCTCCAACATTTTAGGGGCTCTTGACCATTAACCTAGGGCATTACACATGATAATCTCTCTACCAATGAGTCATGCCCCTCACTGGGGGATTCTAGGCAGGGGCTCTACCACTGAGCCACACCCAGCCCCTTACCGGGGGACTCTAGGCAGGGACTCTACTGCTGAGCCCCACCCAGCCCCTCACTGGGGGACTCTAGGCAGGGACTCTACTGCTGAGCCACACCCAGCCCCTTACTGGGGGACTCTAGGTAGGGACTCTACTGCTGAGCCCCACCCAGCCCCTCACTGGGGGACTCTGAGAGGAACTTACCACTTAAATACATCTCTAGCTGCAACTTATCCTTTTATTTATTTTAAAAGATTTACTTTGTCAGGTGGTGGTGGTGGTGGTGGTGCACATCTTTAATCCCAGCACTAGGGGGGCAGAGGTAGGTGGATCTCTGTAGTTCAAGGTCAGCCTGGTCTGCAGAGCTAGTTCCTGGACAGTCAAGTAAAATCCGGTCTCAAAAAAACATTTACTTAACTTTATTCTTTATTTCTGTGTATGTTCATGTGTGTTCAAGCGCCTGGAGAGGCTGGAGAAGAGGCTGTCAGAGCCTCTGAAGTTGAAATACAGGCTATTGCGAGCTGCCTAATATGGGTGCTGGGAACAAAACTCTCTAAGAGCAGCAAGTGTTCTTAACTGCTGAGCCATCTCTCCAGACCCCATTCTTTTATTTTTCAATTGTTTATGATTTTTTTTTGAGAGGGTCTTTCTATGGCCTGAATTTCTAGCAACTCTCCTGACTCAGCCTGTCAAGGACTTGAATTAAAGAGTAACTACGCTCAGCTGCTTCACCGTGCTTGATGAACTCCATCCTTTGTGTTTAAACCTCTCTGAGAGGCCTGCCCCCACCCACTCCACCCTGCTCTCAAAGCCCTCACAGTGCGTCCGCCTTGGTCAGCTCTGTGTTCTCAGTACCTGGGACAGGGACATGCACAGGGAGCCCGTGGGCTGAAGGAATGTGTCCTCCTCCATGCGTGAGCACAGGCATGTCCTGCATGGGACACAACTTCCCTTCTCCTCAGCGTGGGCATCCCACAGCGAACAGGCTGGATCAGAGCCCGCCGATGGGTTCCTAGAACCCTAGCTTTCCCCCCATGCTAGTTTGTCCCTCCCATACTGACCAGTTCCTCCACATGGTTACTGTCTGATGACAGGTCTGTCTGGATGCTCTAGGGGAAGTAGGCAGCGCTATCTTAGTCACCACCATGCTGCCAGGCTTTTTTGTACTCAGGGCTGTGCACATGCTACATATTCTGTCTTAACATGGAGGATTATTTCTACGTTTTGGGCCCCCAGCCTCTTCTTTCTCTTTTGGCTTGGGCATGAAAGTTGTGGCCTTATACAAGCTAGGTGGAGAACATGCCCCCCCCCTTCATTGGTGAAGTCTAGGCAAACACTGCTGAGCCCCTCTGCCAGTCCCTCACTAGGGGATTCTAGGCAGGGGCTCTACCACTGAGCCTCACCCCAGTCCCTTAGGGATTCTAGGCAAGCAGTCTCTATGGAACAAGACCTGTGACCATCACTGGTGGGTTCTGTGCATGTCCTGCCACCAAACTATATACCTTTAGTCCTGGTTTTTAGAAGACGGGGTCACACTGTCTTGTACTATGTAGCCCAAGCTGGCCTTGAACTCACTAATATCCCAGGTTGGCTTGTCTATCAATTCACAGACCACGGAGTAATAATTACTGTCACTGTAGGCCGGCAATCAGTAATTATCATCACTATAGGCTGCAAGCCCAGTTCCCACTTGATCCTTAGTGCAACCCTAAATGACAGTCACCATTATCAACCCCTTTCATAGAGAAAGAAAGAGGCACCAAGTCACCTGCAAAAATAACCTCCACACCTGTAGGTGGGGCAGGACCCAGCAGCCCCCATTTGCTCTCACGACTCACCATGACCATCAAAAGTCTTGTCCAGCGTTGCCAACGTTCCCCGCCCGCTGAATTCCTCAGCCTGACCTCCCAGGGCCTCTCTTACAGCATCATAGCCAACCAGGACCACCACGCGGCGCCAGGGGCCCAGGTGTACAGTGAACACAGGCCCATACTTCTTACTTAGCTGGGGGCAGAAAGGGAGAGGAGGGTGGTGACTGGCCCCAGGGAGCTGCCTCTGCCAGGCAGGCTGCATTAGTTCCAAGCCCTGTCCTCGGGTAAGTCATGTGGTCTGGCTTTTGCCCCCTATACCAGGAATTGGTTCCCTTGCCACCCCAAGCAAAAATACCTGTTTGGGAAGTTGTTCGTTTTCTTGTATGGGAGTGTAGAATAGGTTCTTCTTAAACACATCCTATGCCTTCCCTCTCACTTCCAGGCTCTAACCTCTGATCTTGGGGCCATCCACAATCAGCTTCCGTTTCCACCCCTTTCCCCAGTATACAGCTACCCAGTTCAACCTCTTCTAAACCCTAAATCCCACAGCAGTTTCAGTGGAACACGCGTCCCATCTCTCCCTTAGACGCCCACCCTCTTTTTCTGTCCTTAAATGTCCCTCAGAATATTTTTGAATGGAATGCTTCATCCCCCACCACCCCAGGCAGGTTGGGACTGCCTCCCCATCCTCCCACCCGGTGGCAGGAACTCCCAGCTCCCTCCTAGCTGAGCTACACCCATCCTCCCACTCGGGGAGTCTCTGAGGCAGATTCCTTTAGCCCAGGATGCTCTCTGCTCAGCCCCCTCCAGCCTCCACAAGCTTCCAGATGTTTCCCTCCCAACAGGGGTACTGGGGACAAACTTGTCCACTATTATCCTTGTCTTTGGGAGTGCCTGCTTTACAATTTTGGTTCCAGTTCACTA